GGTGAGGTGGTGTGTGTGTGTGTGGTGAAATGGTGCATACGCGTGTGGTGAGGTGGGGTGTATCTTATTGTAGGTATGTGAGGATATGTCAGTGGTAGGCGTGTGTGTGGTAAGGTGCTGTGTGTGCCTGTGTGTGGTGTGTGTGTATGTGTGTGTATGTCTGTGTGTGGTAAGGTGCTGTGTGTGTGCCTCTGAGGACACGCCTGGCCCGTGGCATGGAGGAGCCCTGAGAAGGTGGTGGAGACCCTCTCTCTCGTGGCTGAGGTGTGGGCAGCTCTCAGGCTAATTTGGAGCTCCCGGCTCCAGTTATAGTCTTGAGGCCGCCATGAAGGTGGAAACACGGTCCCAGAATTGGAGCAGCAAATTATGGCCAGAGCCCGAAGGGAACGTGTCATTCTGCAGCTGCACGGGGCTTTGGCGCTATGTTTAGCCACCTGCGTTCCTTTGGCTCTGGTGACCGGCCTGTCCCACTCTCACATTCTCTAAAAAGGAACACTGTCAAAATAGCACCGAGGCCTCTGAGGGGTCAGAGCAAGAAGGGGAGGGCCAGAGCCATCTTTGGTCTTCTAGGGGCTGCTGGGGACATGCACCAGCCTATTCTGGAAGGTTCTACTGTCCCCAGCTGGTTGCCATCACCTAACGTGCTGTCCTTCCCAGGACTCTGGAGCGCCTCAGTAACACTTCCTGCACAGAGGGAGAGGGCTGAGAGCCTAAAGGCCACTCCAGGTCTCAACAGGGCCTCTCCCACTCTGCCCTGTGCCTGACCTTTCCTTTTATATGGAAGGAAGTCCAGCCTGGGATTCATATTTTTCAGGGTCCCCTTGGAATCTCTGGGTCACTGAGGAGGGGGGCCAGGGCTGGTGGCTGTGAGTCCCCACTGACCCCTGGTTTCTCCAACCTCACCTTCCTTTCCCCCTGTTGCAGGGCCTGTTTTCTTGCCTTCCCCCTCAACCCCATCTCCTCTCTCAGAGCGGCTGTGTTTCCTTTTTCCTCTGCCCCACCCCCATCTTGCTTTAGTCACCTGCTATTCTGCTTTTCACCCACCTGAGCCCTATCCTCTTACCCTGGCCCCTTGCTATGGCTTCCAAGCACATCCAAGGCTCTTCTAAAAGACAACAAATTATAGTCCTAGAGATACCAAGTGAGGATTTATGGTGGGAAGCCATTCCTAGGACGGGCAGCAGGATGTACTCTGAGACTCCTTCAGCTTCCTTCATGTAGGTCCTGGGAGCCATGTGTCCCCTGCTTCTGGAGGACCGAAGTTGAGGGCCTTGCCCTTGCTTGGCTACCCTGCCCGTTGTGTATGGGTATGTTCGTGACAGAAGGAACCAATGAAGGGATGGTAGAGACTAGAAATGTCTCTGGAGCAGGCAGATTTGAGAAAGATGGGGAGAGTGGCTGAGTAGGAGGCGCCTGCAAGGTTGGCAGCAAAGGCCGTAAAACAGCAGCAGGAGACCAAGTTGGCCTAGTGAGGCCTTCACTTTCAGACTTCACTTGTCACTCACCCTTACTCTGGACCATTGTGATTCAGGGCGGTCCTGGAGCTGTCCAAGGTCACATAAATGGTGGGGCCATGGAGCCAGGGTGTCCAACCCCGGAACACACACTCTTCCCACAGTTGGTGCGGAGGATTCTGGGAGGGTGCTGGAGGGAGGGAAGGAGAAAGGGAGGACCCTAGTCCCTCACGCTGGCCAGCCTCCCTTGTCACAGGTCCTTTGATCCTGTTGCTAACTGGCATGTTTAATTTGTAGCTTGCAGATGGGCTCTCAAGCTTGGCCCCCACTAACCTGGTGCCTTCTCCATCCAGTCCTCATGTATGTATTGTTTACTATTTGTTGGCTCGATTTTGCTTGCATGTCTGGGAATGGAGGGTAGAGGAGAGGAGACCTTCTTGATCCTGGTGCAATCACGGAAGGATGGCGAGAAAGCTCTGGGGTGTACACCTGGAGATCTCTGGCCCTGATGAGTCTCCTGCTCCTTCTGAGCCCTACTTCAGCCCTAGTTCCCCTTGTGGGCTGGGTTTGGGCATGGCTTCCAGGGCCAGAGGGAAGGGTTTTTTCCTAGCTTCAACTCTGCCCTGTGGGCCTGGGCCTGAGAAGGCCGTTGAGAAGGCCGTTGAGACGGCCGCAGGCCAGCCTTCCCAGTTCCTCCTACGCCAGAGCAGGTGTGACTAGGGCCGCAGGCAGGCCCTGGACTTCCTGAGTCCAAGGGGTTGGGCAGTGCCAGCACTGCGGTGCCTAGCAGGGCTCCTCTCTGTGTCTGCTGCTCTAACAGGTTCAGGCTTCTTTCTGAATTTTCTTTTGTGGAAAATACAGAAAACCTGGAGCGCAGGGCCGAGATAAAGCGATCGGCATCTGCATATGCTGCTAGACTGGTTAGACACGCCCAGGTTCTTTCAGGTACTTGCTTATACTCCGAGTTTGGCAGTACGGAGTCATATTGTAATTTCTGACCATCTGTTAAAAAGCTGAAAAATACAATGTGAAGGCTCTCCCACTATTTAATGTATATATTTATATTATACATTATACACACACTTATATATGTGTGTGAATGTCACACAGGCCCTCTTGAAGCACTAACTACTTATCATTGGACACTTGATTTGTAATTTCCACTGTTGTCCTTTACCTCCCTAGAATATTTAGTTTACTGTCTTTAGGTTCACTCATTTAATTTATTCCTAGGTGTTTTGTAGCCTTAATTACTATTATCAGTGGAGTATCTTCTTTTTATGACCATAATTCTTTCTAGGAAATCCTCCTCTCCTCTCCTCTCCTCTCCTCTCCTGTCCTCTCCTGTTCTCTCCTCCCCTCCCCTTCCCTCCTCTCTTCTCCCCTCCTCTCCTCTCCTCCCCTCTTTTCCCCACCCTTCCCCTCCAACCCCTCCCCTCCTTTCCCCACCCTTCCCCTTCTATCCCCTCCCCTCCTTTACTGTTCCCTTGTCTCTCCTCTCTCTCCTCTCCTCCCCCCTCTTTTTCTCCCTTTCTCTTCCCTTCCCTCCCCTCCTCTCTTCTGGGCCAGGAGTTAAACCCAGGGCCTTGCATATGCCAGACAGGTGCTGTGCCACTGAGCTCCAGCCCAGCTCGGGAAACAGAACTTTCACATGCTCACACGGCAACCGTCTTTTTATTAAGCCTCTCCACATAGCCCTTGTCGAGTTAAGAAAACTACGTGGATAAGACTGTTCAAACAGACATGGCTTTATTCCTCATATCTAGATCTATTATTTTCCATTTCAAAATAATATTTGACAGTAGAAGTGCCGCTGAGAAAAGTTATTTGGCCATTAACTAATGAGAATAGTTCTTTATTTTCTTTTAAGAGTGGTGACAACTAGCTGTTTCATACAGATGTTCTTGGCTTTGTCAAGATTTTGTCTTTTGTTTTGTGTTGTGTTTTCTTTGAGACAGGGTTTCTCTGTGCAGCCTTGGCTGTCTTAGACTTGTTTTATAGGCCAGGCTGGCCTCCAACTCACTTTGTAGATCTGCCTGCCTCTTCCTCCCTGAGTATTGGGATTACAGGCAGGCACCATGGTGCCTGATAATATAAAACACAAGAGCCCCGTGTTCTGGAGTAGAGTGAAGTCTCTCGCTCTGTCAAGGGCTCATAGCCTACTGAGGCTGAGGCCCTCTTCTCTAGCACAGTAGGCTGGCAGTTGCTGATGGGGGAGGTTGTTTGACTGAATCATTAATGCGCCTGCATATTGAACACTGACATATAGGTTCCCCACCACTGCGAGTGCTTATCTTCCAGTCCTGTGCCACAAGGCCAGCTCTGCTTGGGTCTGCATCTGCGCAACGGAGGAATGCCATCCTTTCATTTAAAACTGCAGCCAGCATGTAACATCCATGTTTCTTAACCTTTAGTTTATTAATGTTTGAGAAGAATGTAATGATGCTACAAAAACATCTGGGTGTAGAGTTCTTTGAAAATTTAAGATCTGTCTGCCATCTTTATGCCATTTTGTTTGTACTTAAAAAAACCTGAAAGCATTAAATTCGAACTTTATAGTTTTTGTCATATTTATGCCATTACATCACTAGCGCAGCTGGCATGAAGGCTGTAGGCAGACACGTTGACTGTGGTCGCAAACACAGCTTGCCTGCCAGGAGCTGCTGAGGTTATGCAAGAGCAGCTGCGGGTCCTCAGCTGGCACTGGCCTGTGGCAGACCACAGAGAGCATTTGTCCATCCCATCCAAGGGGCATCTGGAGAGAGAGACTTGCTGCACCTTGCTGGTGTCGCTTTGCGCCGTCTTGGTTGGGCTTTGACGCCAGATCACGCTAGCTCCCCACGTGTCTTCCATCCCGCCACTTCTGCCTCTGCTGGTGAGCGTGAGAATTGATTTTCGTTTAATTTCCACCCCCCACTGTGTGTGTGCGCATTGTAGGCTAGATCTGCGCAGGAGGAACATGAGTTTTGCCTTTCTGAGCTTGGTTACTACTGTACTTTTCAAATCCATCCATTTTCCTGCAGATGTTATGATTTTGATTTTCCTTTTAGCTAGATGAATAAAACCCTATCCTGCAGATTTACCACATTCTCATTACCTATCCATCCGTCGATGTGTATCTAGGCTGTCTCTGTTCCCTGTTCTTCAGAGGCATTTTCCAGTTGGTTGTTACTCACGTGTAAATTAAATCAGTACTCATATATGCTGGTCTTATTTTCAAAACTTTGCTAGGATTCTTATTCATCCTACTGATTCAAGTGTTCTGATCTTTAGTCAGTTATATAATTTGTCATCAATCACTTTTGCTTCTTTAGTTTGTCTTTTCTTTCTTGATTGTTTCCTTTTCTTCCTTGTTGTACTGGCCAGGACCACCAATTGGATGCTCTGTGTGATTTATTTTTGGAAGTATTCTTTTTTTATGTCCCCCCCCTTTTTTTTAATGAATATTTTTGCCTCATCAAGGAGTATGGAACTTAGGAGGTAAAATATGACTAGCTAGTTAATATTTGTTATCAGAAATGCTTTTTATGTATCTGTTGACATGGTCGTGTGATCTTTTTTCTCCTTTGATTTGATAATATGAATACTTTCATGGACTTTCCTTTTCTTTCAGTTCAGAAACAGGTTCATAAGTTTGAAACAAACCAACCAGGCCAACACTGCCCCTCCCCCTTGCATTGCCAGATCCCATTTGCAGATATTTAGGTCTGTCTGTCTTTGTTTCTGTCTTTTTTTCTTATGTTGCCCTGGCTGTCGTGGAACTCACAGAGATCTGCCTGCTTTTTCCTCCTGAGAGCTGGCATTTAAGGCATGTGCTTCGCCTCAGGATTTCTTTTTTCGGCAGTTTTGATGAATGATAACAGCTTGAAACTTCTCTCTTTATGCCCTCCAGTTTTTTGTGTCTGGGTAATGATCATCTTATAAAGTAGTTTGGGTGACAATGAGCTTTCTCCGATTTCTAAGAAGACAGAATAAGCCTGGCATCATCATTGCCTGTGTTTGGCAAAATCACTTGTAAAGCTGTCTAGACTCAGCATTCTTCTTGGGATATTTTAAATCGCTGTTGTAATTTTAAGAATCTTTATGGGACCTCTGAGATTTTCTGCTTCTAGGTGAGTCACTTTGGGTGATTTATACGTTATAGGAATTTATCCATTTCCTTCCCAAATATTGGCATAACATTTTTCATAATGCCCTCTTAAGTTTTCTAGTCTTTTCTTCTCCATCTAGCATATCTCCTTCATTTTTAGGATTTTATCTTGTTATTCTTGTCAGGCTTAGTCAGATTATTTTCATCATTTTCAAAGAATCAATTTTTCAGTTGATCTTCTGTTTTGTTTCCTTATTTCCTAGCTGATTAATTTTTTTATTATTTCCTTCCTCCTATTTGGGAGTGTTTATTATATTTTAAACCTCTATGTAAACATTGAAGGCTATAAAATTTCCTGTTAAGTATTGTGTTATGCCTCCCACAGGACTTGGCAGGTAGAATTTTTTTGCCATTTTTCTGTTCTGAATATTTTCTTATTTCTGTTATTTCATTTTGACACCTAAGTTGTCTAAAAACATTTGGAAGTTCCTAAATTATGCTTTCAGTTATCTTTCTGTTGTTGTTGATTCTGGCTTAGTTTCTCTGTACTGTGGTCCAGAGAACGCAGTCTGTGTGTAATGATACTTAGTAATGACCTTTATGGTCCAGGAAAAGGTCCATTTTTATAACTGTCTTGTGGAAGCCTGACGAATGTGTATTTTTCAAATATGTTTTACAGGCTACACATTTCCTTAGAACACTTTGTTAATGTGTTATTCAAACTTGGATTCCTTGGCTTTGTTTTATTTTTAAAAACTGTGTGTGTGTGTCTGTGTGTGGATATGTGCACAGAAGTCAGGTGCCCATGGAAGCCAGAGGAGGACAGCTGGTCTCCAGGAGCTGTGGTTACAGGTGGCTCTGAGTCACGCTTGTTTTACAGAGGATTTAGGTACACAGGGCTATAGTCCTGGCTGCCTGGAACGGGCTAAGTAGACCTGGTTGACTTCAAACTCACAGAGAACCACATGTCTCTGCCTCCTGAGGGCTGGGATAAAAGACATGTATCACTACCCCCTTGGGCTCTCTGTTTTAAAGAGTGCATCGTTATTATTTGGATTATTTGCCGTCTGACTTTGTATTTCAATTAGCTTTATCTTTCTTCTTCTTTCTCTCTTTCTCTCTTTCTCTTTCTTTCTCTCTTTCTTTCTTTCTTTCTCTCTCTCTTTCTCTCTCTCTCTTTCTTTCTCTCTTTCTTTCTCTCTCTCTTTCTTTCTTTCTTTCTTTCTTTCTTTCT